TTTTTGAGACAGAGCCTCAAGCTGTCCCCCTGGGTAGAGTGCTATGGCATCACAGCTCACAGCAACCTCCAACTTCTGGGCTTAAGTGAGTCTCCTGCCTCCACCTCCCAAGTAGCTGGGACCACAGGCGTCCACCACAATGCCCGGCTGTTTTTTATTTTTGGTTGTAGCTGTTGTTGTTTGGCAGGCCTGGGCTGGATTTGAACCCACCACCTTAGGTTGAGCCACAGGCGCCCAGCCAAGAGATAGATTTAAAAAAAGTAAATAGGTATGTAAAAATGATACATTGTGATTGATACTCTGGAAGAAGCAAGGAAGGGACTGGGGTAGAGATTGGGGGAAAGCAAGGAGAAGGGAATTCACCTTAGATTGGATGCTCGGGGAAGTCAAACTAAGGTGAAAGTTAAGCTTAGTCCTAAAGGATGAGACAGTTGGCTGTGGGAAGAGAGTAGGAAGTGTTCCAGGGAAGGGATGAGCAGATGCAAAGGCCCTGAGGCGAGAAAGACCTTGGCACATTCCAAGCCTGGAAAGAAGGCCACTGAGGTTGGGGTGAGTGGACAAGACTGGAGATGAGGTTGGAGAGATGGTAGTGAGGGAGTTGTAGCAGGGGTTTGATTTTTGTTCTATGAGAAATGGGAAGCCTTTTTTAAAGGATGTAAAGCAGGGGCATGACCTGATCAGATTTGCATTTTAACAAGATCCCTTTGGCAACTGTGGGAGGAATATGTTGGAGAGACATAAGAATGGCAGTAGACAGGCTGATCGCAGCAGCCCACATAGAAGGGACTGGGGACTTGACTGAGTTGTGGCAATGGAGGTGGAGAGACCTACACAGAAACCCACAGCTTGTGGTTTTGTTTGGATCTGGGATCACAGCACCTGCTGAGGGACTGGATGTAGAGGATAGGGAAAGGGAAGGATCAAAGATGCCTCCTGCATCATCCACTTGAGAAACTGGAAGGGTAACAGAATATTTATACTCTTGGGGGAAACTGAGGGAGTTGAGAGGGGCATGGACCTACATCTCATATATGTTGGATTTGAGTTACTTGTGAGACATCCGTGTGGAGAGCCCAGCATTCAGCGGAGAGCTCTGAGCTAGGGATGTAGATTCTAGAGTTATCAGCATAAACGTGGTATCTGAATGAATGGAAACAGATGAGGTAGCTGTAGGAAGAGAGCACAGAGAGGAAAGGGAAGTGATCTAGGTCTGCGCCTCGAGGGACACCAACATTTGGAATTTGATAAGTCAGAGGACTCTTCACCCCTCCTCTTTCTGAACATCCCTTTGCGCGCATCTGGGCTGACTAGAGGAGAAACAGCAAAGGAAAAGTTAACATTTGTTTTAGTGATTTCTGTTGGGTAGAAAGTACCCTGGAGGTGCCCATACCTTACTTGCATGTATACATACATACCTACATAATATGGTTATCTTTTTCCTTTTCTTTGGATTTTATTTGTTCTTTTCTAGCTTTTCAGAGATATTTATGTATTTATTTATTTTTTGAGGCAGAGTCTCACTCTCTTGCCCTAGGCTAGAATGCCATGGCCTCAGCCTAGCTCATAGCAGCCTAAAACTCCTGGGTTTGAGAAATCCTCCTGCCTCAGGTTAATTTTTCTACTTTTTTTTTTTTTTAAGTAGAGGTGAGGTCTTGCTTTCTTCAGACTGATTTCAAACTCCTGAGCTCAAGTGATCCCCATTGGCTTCCCAGAGTGCTAGCTAGGATTATACGTGTTAGCCACTGTGCCCAGCCCGCATACTTAATGTGTAATTTTTTTGGAAAAATTTATATATGACACAGTGTGTTATTCCTCTTAGCAATAGTTATAGCTTTAAAGATTTACCTGAAGAGTGTAATATTTGGTTTGGACAATGGTGTTGTTCCTTGAGCTGGGTGGGCAGAATTCATTAGTTAGCCCTGTTGGCAGAACTGGGAATATGGGGGACTGTTCCCATATCTCAGGAAATGGTGCAGTGCCTGAGGTGAGCTCCTTGGGGAAGAAGTACCTGAGAGTCTCCTGCCTTACCCTACTCTGCAGGTGTGTGATGATGAGTGGCACCACTATGCTCTGAACCTTGAGTTCCCCACTGTTACACTCTATGCTGATGGCATCTCCTTTGACCCTGCCCTTATCCATGACAATGGCCTCATCCACCCACCCAGAAGGGAACCTGCTCTCATGATTGGAGCCTGCTGGACTGGTAAGTACCTCTGAGCTTCTCAGTGAAGAATCTAGTGTTTTAGGACTAGCAAAAGCAGGTGGGCTGGTGAGGAACAAGGGCAGCCTGACTTTGCAGCTGAGGCCACCATATATATCTCCCTGTGGTCGGGCAGGGTGACTCTGAAAGATCTCCACTGGAGGGAACCATGGCCTCCCATATCTCCCATCTATCCAATAAGTTGTCACCTCCGACTTGGGAGAATTAACTTCTCAGTTGTCCCTAGAATCTCTCTATAGAATCAGTCAATTTCCACTTTGTTCCATCAAAGTGATGATTATTTTTATAGCCCATCCCCCTGCTGGAGGAGAGTTACCTTTCAGAGAGTCCTCAGTCTTCCTACTTTTTTTTTTTTAAATTTATTGTTAGTCTTCCTACTTTTAAGCCATTTCTTTCATTTTTATTTCTGTGAGCAGGGGTGTGTGTGTGTGCATGTGTGTGTGTTTGTGTGTGTGTGTGTGTGTGTGTAGGGGTGTCATACTTGGAGGTTTGTCTATACTAGAGGCTGGAGAGATTGGGACATGACAAAAGAAGGTTTGGGACTCAGCTGAGAAGCTGTAAGTCCAACATGGACATGTCAAGACTCATGGGAATGACTTATTGCTCTTTGTCAACCTGTCCCCACAACACCGAGCTCCCTGCTATTGTTGTTGTTCTTCTTCTTATTATTATTTTGGTTTCCAGAGGAGAAGAACAAAGAGAAGGAAAAAGGAGACAACAGTACAGACACCACACAAGGTACTTTGTGTGTAAGAACTGGAGACCAGAGTTCTTATCTCAACTTTTGTTCTGTGCCCGCTTCTCCACCACAAATCCTATCCAGACTTGCTAGTTGCTGCTGGTTATGCCACCTGGGGGGCAAAGTCTCTGATAAATACAGAATGCAGGGTCTCTTTGGAGCAGTATACTTGGTTGGATTCTAGGTGTCCATTCTTGCCCACAGATAAAGTAAGGGGTTCTCTTGCTGGCTTTCCACATAGCAGAGGGAAGTGGCAGAGGTCAGACATGCACGAGGGGGAGATCTGTGCATCTGTGAAGCTCACTCACATTCATCCTGGTCTCCTTGCATGTCACTGTTAAGATACCCTTCCTTGCTGCCTTCCCCTTTTTTCCTCATTTCTCTTCTTTCCTTCTTAAAGGAAAGGTCCTGGTTTCCCTTTCCCCTTTCTCCCTCTACTGAGAGCTTTTCTCATTTCCATTGTTTCTATTTTTCACTCTTCTGCCCCAGGTTTTATTCTGTCTTCTTTTGTCTCATCTCTCTCCTTTCTCCAACTTCCTTCTTGTTCTCGCTTCTCTTTCTTCTCATCTCTTTTTTCCTTTTTGGGGGTTCCACATCTCTCTTTTTCATTTTTCTTTCTCAATTTTTCTGCTCTTTCTCTCTTTTCCCTTTCTCTCAGCTCTCCTGCCCTTATTCCTTCCGCCTCTCCTCTCACCTCCTCTCACTGCCATCCCGCTCCTGTGTTCCTGCCCTAGGAGATCCTTTGCCGATCCACCACTACTTCCATGGCTACCTGGCTGGTTTCAGCGTGCGTTCAGGTCGCCTGGAGAGCCGTGAGGTCATCGAGTGCCTCTATGCATGTCGGGAGGGGCTGGACTATAGGGATTTCGAGAGCCTGGGCAAAGGCATGAAGGTATAGCCCCATCCTCTAGCCCTCTCAATCCTGGCATGCCCCCTGCCCCCTGCCCCCTACCCCTGCCCCACCTCTATACCTTTACCCCCTCTCCCCACTCCTGGCCCTGCTGTCAGCTGTGTCTGTGTCTGGGGCCCAGGTCCACGTGAACCCCTCGCAGTCCCTGCTCACCCTGGAGGGGGATGATGTGGAGACCTTCAACCATGCCCTGCAGCATGTGGCTTACATGAATACTCTGCGCTTTGCCACACCTGGCGTCAGGCCCCTGCGCCTCACCACTGCTGTCAAGTGAGTGTTGGATGGGGTGGGACAAATCATGGAGCAGAGTCAGACAGTGTCACAACTCTTTGACCTAACATGTCACCTAGGGCCGGGCACACTTCCCTGATTTCATGGGTGGGGAAACTGCCCCCACCCCACCCCAGCCACAGAGGACAATTGACTACTAAAGTCACATAGCAATATTGATGACAGAGCCTGGACTAGACTCAGGTGTCTCAGCATCCAATTCATTGTTCTTTCTACCAAGTCACACTTTCAGGATTTTTGAGTTTTGGTCTTCTTTGTGCCTCTAGATTGATAAGTATTTAAAGTGGGACAGAGAGGATTGGGAACTGGGAGATATGACATTAACTCTGACTCAGTTGTGTGAATGACCTTGCACAAATAACTACCAGTACTTCTGGTTGCTTAACTTGTTTCTAATCTTGTTTCTCCACGCTCTTGCAAGGTCAGATATGGTGATCTAAATCTAAGACTTGACAATGTAGAGTCCTTGGCCTGCTACATTGGGACATAGCTATGCCCATTCTGAAAAGCACATTGAAGCGAACTGCCATGTCTGAGCATGGGGTGATTATCTCTACACCATTCATTTACATATTGTTCATGGCTGCATCTACACTATCGTGGCAGAACTGAGTAGTTATGGGAGAGACTGTGTAGCCCCCAAAGCCAAAAATATTTAGTGCCTGGTCCTTCATAGAAAAAGTTTATTGACCTCTGACTTCTAAAGTGAATTATTTTGAATTACTTAAAAGAGATATCATACGTTATTTCAAGGTTTAGGTATATATTAGGTATTTAAAAATACAGATTAATTGAGAGGCAATGAAGGCATAATGGTTAAGGATGTAGGGTCTACTGCTGGCTTTTTAGCATTAATTTAATGCTGTGGAGCAGAGATAACAATAGCATCTTACTCATAAAATTGTTATGATAACTTTATGATAGAATCCAGGTCAAATGCCTAGCAGAGTGCCTGTTCTGTAAATAATTGGCCATTATTATATAAAGGGATTTGCCCCCTTATCTTGGTTTATGGGGCAGTTTTGGGGAGATATTGCCATCTAGTGGGAGGATTGCAGGGTTTGGGAGTCAGTATTTCTGCGTTCTAGTCCTGCCTCAGTTTTTTCAGGGAGACTATATGAAGATAAACATCCATGACTTGTCCCATCATGGGAGGGGAGAATTTAGAGGGGAGAGGGCAGTGCCTGGGTATGATTATCAAGCCTCGCAATTAGAACCATGGAAGGCAGGGGCAGTGGCTTTTGGGCTTTGGACTGCTGGTCATGGTGTGGAACTGAAGGGGCAGATGAAGTCATGTGAGCCCAGATGAGTGCTGAGTATGCACCTTGCCACCATGCTCTGGTTGCTAAAGGGCTGTCATCCAGTTATGAAGGGCTTAATTCCTCAGAAACCAAGGTATTGCCTCACCCCCTCCAGTGTGTTCAGGAGCCCTGTTAGGAGGAGGGCCCTGTTATTTGGCCTAGCTGGAGCTCTGCAAGGGCAATGTCCATAGGGGCAGGAGTTGACATCCTCTTTGCTGTCTTGCTCATTTGAATTCTTCCTGCGTTTTTCATGCCCAAGACAGACACTTATCCAAGAGCTTGGAACCTGCCTTTGGTCCTTTAGTAGAGGGAAGGGGACTTGATATTTTCCTTATGAGGTTAAAAAAGAGAGTTCTGGGCCGTGCCTGTGGCTCAGTGAGTAGGGCACTGGCCCCATACACTGAGGGTGGTGGGTTCAAACCTGGCCCCAGCCAAACTGCAACAAAAAAATAGCTGGGCGTTATGGTGGGCACCTGTAGTCCCAGCTACTCGGAAGGCTGAGGCAAGAGAACCTCCAGCCCAGGAGCTGGAGTTTGCTGTGAGCTGTGATGACACAGCACTCTACCGAGGGCAACAAAGTGACACTCTGTCTCTAAAAAAAAAAGATGGCTCGGCACCTGTGGCTCAAGTGGCTAAGGTGCCAGCCATGTACACCTGAGCTGGCAGGTTCAAATCCAGCCCTGGCCTGCCAGAAACAATGATGACTGCAACCAAAATATAGCCGGGTGTTG